GCATGCGAAAGGGCTTCGCTCGGTGGCTATTTTCTGTTTCTATTTTCTGTTTCGGGTGAGGTGTCTCGGTGACGGGGAAGGAAGCGAGCCGGCGTTTCCCACAGGGCAAGGAGCAGCTCTCGCCGGGGCTGTCCCGCAGCAGCAGGGCAGGAACAGCAGCTCCAGCGCGATGCTGAACACGCTGCTCCCGGTACACAAACCTCCCCTGGCTCACCTGGCACCAAAACCTTGTTTTCCAAGCAGGGCCCTTCTCTGCAGGTCGTTATTCCTTGTGGCAGCTACCTTCCCTAAAGACAGGCATTTAGACTGAGCCACCCAGAGCTGTCCCGGCTGTATCTGTGACAATGAGCGCAGGAATTTATCTCCAGCGGGTTCCTGGCACTAGCTGGCGGTGAAGGCAAACCAGGTTTGTCCCTTGAATCAGTAAACTGTGCTGAGAAAGATCTCCTTTCCCACAACCTCTTCAAGTCCAGCCTCCCGGAGCTGGATACGTCAAGCATTACATTTCTACAGGCAGAGGGGTTGGTTGGATTTTGTTTATTATTATTTTTTTCCCCCAAGAAGCAGCAGACCTACCTAGTGATTGCAAGAAGAATGGAGAAGACAGTTCACGTGTCTGGCAAACCACCGCATGCCCTCCTGCAAACAACAGACAGGCGAGGAAAGCAACAGACCCCGGTGTGCTCCTACAGCTGGGGCGGCCACAAAGCTTGGGTTTATTGCTAACAGTCTTATCGTGAGCATTAGCACGAGGGGCAGATGGATGCCTGCTACTAATGGGCTCTAATACCTTACTTATACCCTCAAGACTAATGGCCAGATTTCACAAGACTTCATTTCCCCTCCCTGGCACGCACACTGAACTAAACCGGGGATTATATTGGAGTTACAGCCCTTCGGGTTGAGGCCGTGCGGCTGAAAAGCAGCAGCTTCTCCGTGGAATTGCAATCCCGGCGTCATTCACGGTGTCACTGCCTTCTCCCGCCTGCCGCTTGCAGAAGAAACTTGTTTTTTTGCGGGACCAAACCCACTCGGCTGCGCTATTAATTTGCAAACGGCATTTTAGGGGACGCAGGCGGTAGCGACTACAAAAATAGCAGCTTATTTACTCCCCGTGCGCTTTGCTGACAAACAAGTTCTTAAAGTCCCGTGGAGAAGATCGAGCTTAGCAGAGCAAGAGCAGTTCTGCTCTAACACAGATAAATTGTCGGCTGAACTCCAACCGCAGACCTCAGTGCTGAGAGAATAAAGAAAGCCCGGCAGGATTCCTACGTTCCAGATGGCATCTGGATGCAACTGCCAGATACAGAGCAGCTTTCATTTAGCAACTATTTCCTTAAGCGAGCTCACTGAGTACATTATAGTCTTCATTTTTTTAGGGCAGATTTCAGAGCCAGCAGAGGAGGTGAATACAACTTTTTAAAAAAACACCCCCTCAAAAAAAACACTTTAAAACTCCACCGTAATTATTCCGTTCACTATGCTGGGATTTGCCCATTGTTTTCTGTCAGAGCATTGCGGGAAGTTCAAACAAGGTTTTCCCTTGTCCAGTTCAGCAGTTTTCCACCTGTGACACTCTCATGGAAACAAATAGTGCCCAGTGGGGGTTTAGAGCTGCCTGGGTGAGGCGCCAGGACGGGGTGAAACACGAATTGTGCTGCAAGACAGGAGCGAAGAGCACGTGGCCCCGGCCACGGGTCCCGTACTGAGCTCTAAAGCAGCATCTCAGGGCATGAACCGAGGAACTTGAAAGCTCCCCACCCAAAACATCGCTCTAGAAGAGGCGTGACCAACCTTTGAACTCATTCCGGAGATTCCTACGCTGTGAGCACATCACCCGCGGAGCAGAGCCACCCCTGACATGGGTGACACTGGGGTGACGCTGGTGACTGGTATCGGCCCTGCTTTGCTGGAAGGTTGCCAGCAGGGTTTCAATCGAGGCCGAAAACCCTCTCGACTGGCCTCATCCCCCTGGGAACCCCCAGAAAAGCCGATTTGTGCCTGTCCGGGCACCTTCACCCCGTGGCTGTGAGACGTAAAGCCCAAGCTGAGCCTCCTCCTTCCCACCCAGCCCAGCTCCTGCTCACACAGCAACAAAAATCCTTCACTAAAAATAATTCCGCTGGTAACGCCAGGCAGGACTAAGGCACCGCCAGCGCTCGAGTACCGAGCTCCTGACCCAACATTTTCCTCCATTAAAACATAACAAATCATTCACCTCGTTCTAGGCCAAGGAGACGCGTTTTGGTTCTTCCCTCCTTGAAGAAAGATCAAGGATTTGGCAGCTCTGAGGGGCTTCTACTCACAACTCACTGCACCCACACACTTTGTATTTTAGCCAGTACAAGGAGCTTAATGATCAAAAAAGAAATTCAGAGGGGAAAGTGGCAGCTTCTAAACGACCGTAACCTCCTCTGCAACAGCAAAGGTGCTAAATAACATTTCATACTCTCAGAAAACTACACACACGTGCACAAACAGTGCTTCTGCCCAGTTACCTCCTGTCTCCCTCCAGTTCTTTCACAGAAAAAACTGGGCGTTATCTTGCAAATATCTTTATTACAATTTACAGATTAGTTCTGAATAGTTTTATTATGTACAGAAATATAACTTTAGATATAAAAACCCAGCAAACTCGACACAAATCAATTAAAATCTGTATAAAGCCAATGTTGAAGGTTTTCTAACTTTCTCTAAATTATACAAAAATAAAATCTTATAATTACAGTTTTGATTTAAAGTTCAACGAGTGTTATTTTTACTGTCTCGCTCCAAGCATTTACACATGAACACATCCTGTACGACCATTTGTAGGGAACAAACGTGACGGGCAAGCTTAGCTTGCCTTTACGATGACCACGGCGACAAATTTAGTGTTTATTTCCCATCTCCTCACGCTGGATACTCTGAGGTCTGAGAGGGGATGAAGCTTACCCAAGCAGGTAGGACTCAGAACAGGGTGTCTGATACGCTGCAGGCTGGAAAAAAAACATAATTACTTTCTCCAATGTGAGCAGCACTTTGGAAGCAGCGCTTTTTCGTGTAGTTTATCTGCAATTTGTCAATTCTGTTCCTTCCCAAGCTGCTGCGAACAGCAGAGCAGCGTCTGCAGGTGTTCACCACCACCACCCTAAAGCTTCTTGCGAGCACCAGTGAGCACCAGAATAACAGAAGCACCAACGAGTTCGCCAAGATCAGAGAAATGAGGCCGAGTCTCGGACAAGTGGCTGTGGTGTGTTTTACCGAGAGCAACGGGCAGCGTTTCTACCTGTCAGTCACACCTGGGCCATAGGGCAATAAAAGCCCGAATGCAATTCTGTATTTATCACCCTGCACGCTTTTTCCTAAAAAAATCCAAACCCAACACCAAACAAACAAACAAAAACCCCCAAATAAAAAACCTCCCACCTGTATTCAAATACGATACAGGAAAACAAACTCCTTAAATTAAAATTTAAAAAGTTATTTCAAAGGATTTGAGGTGATGATTAGAATTACAATTTCATAATTAGAGTTATTTTTTGTAGGAAAGGAGAATCCAAGTGGGGTTTTTTTATGCCACGGGGATGGAAAAATAACATTGCTGCACAGCTGCTCTGTAAGGCTGCCGGAGTTTCGGCTCTATTTTAAGTTCACGTGACAACTCCACTGTAGTTCAGCCTCTGACTCTCCTAATTGTGACACTTCTAACTTGTAGCGGAGAAAGGGAATTTTTAAATCCAAAGAACATCCTTTGTGCAAACGGATACGAATTCCTCGATGGTTGGTATTTATTCCATTGTGACCTCATACCTGCTTGGGTAACGCCACTCAACTTCCTTCAGGGCCAAACACATCTCCAAACGGTGCTTATTTTTTATTGTCACTGAAACAATCCAACATTCTAAGTTAGGAATATAAATAAGGAATGTTTTCCTTCCACCAAGGACCTCGACTTTCAGACCCCAAACATGAAATGTTAATTTTGGTACCGGATGAACAAGAGCACAGACGCTGAGAGGTGTTAATACTGGCTTCTGGTAAAGAACACAGCGATTTGTAGCCTTAGATTTCCATAAATCAAAGAGAATTCTCCTTACAAGTACTGGAACAAGCACATTGGATACAAGGAATGTGAAGAATTTTCCACTTCAATCCATCTGCAGAAAGCAGAATCGATGATCGCAAATTACTCTTAACTGAGGAACCAGGTGCTGGTTCCCGAAATTCAACCTTGACATGTACCTTGAAGCTTTAATTATTAATCGGGACGAGGCCTTTCACTGCCCTGAAAGCAAAGAGGTTTGGGGCACAAGCAGCCAAGACCCTTTGGGACAGGACTGGGTCAAGGTATTATTTAAATAAGGACAAACCGAAGGGGCTGTGGTGCACCCCAGCTCCCCCGAATCCCCCAGTGCCACGACTGAAATATTAAAGACATCAAAGCATCACAGAAACACTCAAACATCAGATTACATGCAAAACTGGGATTTTAAAAGGAAGGGATAAAACACCTGCTTCGCAGTATAAGCTAACAAAAAATCGGAGACTTTTGTACAAGTTAGAGAAAATGGAGAACCACAAGGAAGCAGCACATACCTCTAGAAACTTTAAATCAAAACTGCGCTAGCTAGGTTCTGAGGCCCATAAATATTTCCTTCAAAATAGGTTTTGCGTTTTTCAAAGTGCAAAAAAATCCAACTTAATAGTCACCACTTCTCCACGTAGGGCAGGCAAGGCATTTCTGGAACGGGTTTAACCTAAAGCAGTCTCGTTTCTCGAGCGTTCCTTCAAAGGAAGGCAACTTTCCCACCCTTACCCTTGACGACACTAGAAAGGTTTTGTCTGGACACAGAAATGGGACACACAGGTATATTTTCCAGGTGAATACCGAATCGGGAAAGAAGTGCTCAAACCCCACTCCTCTCCCCATTTCAAAATAGCACACGCAGCTGCCGCTTCTTCTTTCGAAGATGTTCGTGAGCGCTGAGGGTCACACAACTACCAGATCTTTTAAGGTGCTAGAAGAGATCAACCCTCTCGTAGCAGGTTTCTTGGAGTCTGTTAAACACTCTTTGTCTGTGCTCGGTTGAGAAGCAGTACCCTATGGCTTCTTCTGTTTCCTGGATCCGTTTCTGGAACCTGCACCCATCCCGCGCGAGCTCTTCCCAGGGTCCTTTACGATCCTCCTCGCTGCTTATGTAATACTCAGTGACTTTTTCAAGGAAGGTTACCTGGAAAAGAAAAGTCAGTTAGTAAAGTGTCAGGCAAACACTCATGCAAAAGGAGCTTATCACTTATTTACACTTTTAACATGAGTTATTAAATGCCTAAAATAGCAAAAAGCTTCAGATAGGCCAGCAGTTCGTGTCAGTCACCTAGGCCAGAGTATATTTCCCCTCTCAGCTTTATAAACAACCAGTTGCTGACTTGCCCCTCTAAGCAGTGCTCCAACTACTACAGAGTTTCTAAACTGGGACCTGAGAGGCCTCTCCAGCCTGATGTCAGATCACACAACCTGCCCAGAGCAGTAACGTCCCCCCTCCCCGTCCCGACACCAGCGCTGGGTTATGACCTTACCCAGAGAGGGTTCAAACAGGTTACTCAGCAGCACATGCCACGACAGTCACTTAAGAAATATGTTACTGGTCAGCCTCTCTCATTAGCGAAGCTTACATTAAAAATAAATAAATAAAAAAATCACTGTTCGGTAGAGTAAGCAATCATGTGAGTCAGCATCAGGAGAAGAAATTGTCCTGTGCTACATACAAGGAAGCAGCGCTCATCACTACGTGACGGGAACAAACCCACCTATTCAGAGCGGGTATCAAATTCCAGGGTATCTAAGTTTGTGCAAGGAAACGAGATCAAACTCAAGGCATTTTGAAATATGTATGAAAACTTCTGCTCTTCACTATTTTTAAGAACTACTAAACTATTTCAAGAAAATACAGAAATCTACAGGCTCGGGAGCTAAACTGACAGTATTTAGACTATCACCACAAGGAGGATTTCAACCTTTCTGTTATCAAGTGATAAGCAAAAGCCAGGCTATTTCAGGCCCCTCCTGAACTGTTTTGCCTTTCACTAGCTTCGCAAAAGGCACAAAACCAAAGGACAAACTAAGCAGCTGTCAGCACCCACCAGCTCTCAGACCAGGGCTGATTCTTGAAGACAAGCCAGGCACTCCATCAGACAGCTCCACTGCATTCTCTGCAGGACAGCTGCTTTCGGAAGGTCAAGAACAAAGCACAAGGTACAAAAAAACCCCACAACCCAAAACATTTTGTTAATACAGAACCCTGGCTTTGCAGCCAGGTCATGCCAAGCCATGCGGAGGGCGAGATTGGCTCAGCCACAGAAAGCAATTTCCAACCTTCCCAGAAAACGTGAAGGCAAAAGAGGGGCCCTGCAGGAATAATCACTAGTAGAGGATAAAAACCCACACGAGGTGGGGCTGAGGGCAACCTCCGATTCTCAGGGAGTGACCCCGAAGGAGTGCCGAGCTGCCTGAGAAAGCAGGGGCAGAGCCCACGTGTCCCCGCAGCAGGAAGGCCCCGCTCACTCCTCAGCGAAACAGAACATCCCCGGGTTCTGTGGATTTACAAACACAAATGTTGCTGCTGTTTGACTGCAGGAGGCTGGAGAGAAAACAGCCTTGAATGGCTTGAACACCTCGGTCTCTGCAGCCAGACCCAATTGAGAATCTGGTTCCAAGCACAGGGAGCTGTTACATCAGCCCGTCCCTGTGCGAGTTCCCACCTTACATCCTTTTTACATCAGTCTGAGCCACCCCTGGGCACAATTACAGGATCTCTGTAACATCACGCTACGGATTGCACCCAGATCATCATTCTTTCACCATGTCAACAGGTCACACAAAGTCCAACCACACATGAGTCAGGACGTACCGCTCTTACCTCTACACCCGACACAAAACACGGCTTTAGCTCACAGATACAAGAGATGACAACAGGGCTCATTTCAGACAGACACTGTCGGTTCCAAAGCACAAGAACTGTTGGAGGGTTTTCCCCTTAGATTAAAACACAACAGCTTGTCCTGTGAGCTTGTAACCACCCCCTGCCCCACCAAACCAGGTGTGAAGTGACCTCTGAGCCAGGCTCTCCAAGCAGCCAACAAACCTCCACTGCTAAACAAGCGCTGGGCACGTTTTCTGTCCTGGTAACTTGTCACCCTAGTGCACTGCCCTGGGAGTCGGCATCACAAGCTATTGTTCCTGCAAATGTTTCAACTACCAGGCAAGACAACAGACATCGCGCCTGAAAAACCATCTTGTGCCCCTGCAGCACCACGAAACTCAGAGAGTGAATTTGAGAAGGTGAATTCTGAGATTTCCAACAAGTGCGGCATTACAAGAGTCTCTGAAATGGAAATTTATCACCGTACTTTGTGCTGAAACCTCAGTGCCTTACAGTAGCGTGTATTAACCCGTGGAGTTCTCCCTACCCCAATGAACGTTTTGAACTCAAGCAGGCTTGTCACAAGTCCTGAAATATTTACCATGCTTTAAGTCTCAATTACATTCGAACAGGTCCCAAAAGTCCCAAAATACTTTTATCAGTATTATTTGTAACAGAAGCAGGTACTTTCCAGTGGAAAATCTTGTATCACGGTTCTCATCTGTTTCTCTGACGTCAGAAACTACATCACAACCCAAACAGAGAAGGAAAACTACATCTTAAATGGAAAATTGAACTGCAAGTCTAGAAAAGTAATTTAAATTACAACATCTACCATCACGTGTAAGGGATGAGGCACATTCCTTTCAGCCAAGTAATCAGAGCACAAGCTCACAGGGCCACGATCTGCGGAATCCTGGCACCAGGGACCTCACCCACTCACAGACTGTTCGGCCCCGCGTGGGTTTGTCGTTTGGTTTTCAGCACCCCCAAAACACAAAACCATAAAACCCCCCAATATATACCTTTTTCCGCTTGGTACTCCTACATTTCTCATCAGACAGAATGCCGGGCTGCACATCAGGGAGCCCACAGTTGTGTTTGTCCAGCTGCACCCGACAGACAGTCAAGTGACTGCACTCGGCAGTCGCCAAACTCGGCCTCTCTGCTCCTTTTAAACCAGACGGCCCTTTCTTCTCCGCCGTTTGAAAGGCTGCCTTGAAATTTAGAGGATTATACGGATCATCTGAGGTACAGAACGAGTTCCAAAGTTTCAAGTTCTCTGCCTCATCCACACTGCTACAGTCCCACTCCTCCTCCTCCTCTTCAGAACTGGGGTGCGGAGAGTCTGAGGACTCCTCTGCCCACGAGGAATCCTCCTCTTCCTCCTCCTCCTCTTCCACATCCGACATGTCCTTTCCCGGACCGCTTGACGATGTCTGAATGGTGGCTGTGAAGTTCTGAGGGTTGTACGGATCCAAACTATAGAAGGAATTCCAGAGGTGAAGCCTCTCCCCGTCCTGGCTACCGGCGTCTGAATCAGAGGGGAGCCCCTCGCTATCAAACCCGTCGTCGTCATCATCATCATCATCCCAGTCCTCCTCATCATCCCCACTCTCCTCCCCACTGGAAACTCCCCCTATGATATAGTCTATCAATTTATTAGCACAGACAGGTCTGGCTGAAACTGGAAGGTTTTGCTCTATTTCGGAGTCCTCCTCCTCGTCCTCCTCCTCTTCAGTCAGAGCTTCCTCCTCTTCAGCTGAACCCCTGATCCCCTCCTGCTCCAAGGGAACACCTCCACCTTGTCTCTCCTCATCGCTCGGCTCCTGGGGCCGCTTCAGCTCGCCGGCATCGCAGGGCGGCCCTTGTGGTGCTGCTGCTCCTCCTCCAGGCTGTGGTAGCCGTGGTCCGGCTCCGGCACGGCCAGCCCGGCCCCGCTCGCCAAATGCCAGCGCTGGAGGAAAGCCAGGCGCTTGCTGCGGAGGAACTCCACCTCGGGCAAACCGCCCCGGGCCCGG